AATAGATATGTTATGTTATTATTTGGCTTTCTATATTTGGTAGTTTAGCATTATCAGTCCTATTTTGTTCTTAGTTAGTTAATTTTAAATTTTAAGTTGTTATGGGATAGTTTTTAAAATTTTCACTATGTGTACATACTTTTAGTCCTATTTTTCATCCTTTTTGGCCTAGCAATAAATAAGTAAATAAAACTTCAATTTACACCTGTTAAATGAATTTCAGTTTATTTATTAGTTGAGTTTTATAGGCATGGCAGCATGGGCTAGATTTACGCTAATTGGTAGGCTCCTGTTGATTGTGATACATGCTGCTGATTGTGATTTTGAGCAAGTCTTCATGAAGGGGGAATTTTTTTCTTACTTCTTATTTTAGCTCATTTTTGGTATTAATAACTGTTTGTTTACTTTTTAACAAACCATTAATAATTGCTTGTTTACTTTGGTTATGAAGTGTCAGTTTTCTCTTGCATAAACCACCTCCTGCAAACAAACATGGGCAATTAAGTTATATATATTATACTCTTTTTGTTTTTATTTTCTATGTTTTATCCTCAATATTTGAAATTGCAGAGAAATTTTATGCACTTAATTAGTCTGCTTTTCTAACATCTTGTGCTTTAGTGTTTTCCAAAACTAGCATGGAAGACATTCATAATGTTTACTTGTCGTTTGCATTTCTGAAATGTCAGTATGGGCCACTGATTTTCTTGTAGGTTCTGGGGATCTTTGCTTAGTTGATCACAAGAATTGACGATGTGGCCTGCATACCCGAGGTATATTTTTTTATTTTTTAAAAAATTTGACCGGAAGGAAAAGGCACTGGACTAAATTTCTGAGTGATTTAAAAGAACAAGCTTGATTTTTGGAGTGGGGCTTGTAACCCCCTAGCATATGATGAATCTGCTAGTTCTTTCTGTTGCCAAATGTGATTTTGGGCAAGTCTCCATGACCGTAAGCATGGGCATGAATTCTGTTGGATTCATTTGCTGTTGATTATGTTGCTGTCTTCTTTCTCTAGTTCTATTTTGTAGTTAATTCTTAGCTTTAATTAGTAGATTTATAAGCAATATCTATGTTTCTTGATCATAAGCTTTGTTTTTGAGAAAAAGAATAGATGTAAATTGAAGTCTATTTGTGTTTTTTTTTTAAAGCTTAATTGGAAGATTTAGAAGCACTGTTTTTGTAGGTTAGTCATATAAATATGTGATGTTGTGTTTGGGACGTTGTGTTGCTGAGAAAATATGCAATGAGGGAAAGAAAAGAAGACTGCAAGTCTATTTGGGTTGTGTGTGTGTGTGTGTGTGTGTGTGTGATGTATTTGTGCTTGAAGGAGATAAATAACAGCTAATTGTTGCTTATTTTGTGTAATTAGTAGATCTGTGAGCAGTACTATGCTTTGTTGCTGAGAAAATAAGTTCAATGAAAAGAAGGAAGAAGGAAATTGAAATGCTGAAATCTTTCCTTTAATTTTATTTTTGATTTCCCAAAATTGACAACTTACCATATGCCCTTATGGTTTTGGATAAACTATATTGACAAAGTAGTTTACGATTCTAGTTTTTAGAGGGCAGTTCTAGCTGCGCTATGCAATTATGAATTCCTCATTTATTTGTCAACGTTCTTGTACACTCACAATGTTGAGTAGCAAGAGCCAGAATCCTCGTTTGGGATCGTTGCATTGGAAAAATGATGTTAACAAAGTTACAATAAGGTTTCATGAGGGCTATTGCAGTCAGTTGAGCAATTAGCCAAATTTGTAAAGTAACCCTCTTTCTATTTAGGGAATCAAACCAAATAGAGCCCTAGCTAAATACCTTAATTATGCTCCATTTAGTAGACTTTTTTGAATGGCTTGGTCTCACATGGCAAAGACTTTAACATCAAGTCCATTTCTTTTAAAAGATCTACCAGTTCTCTTTAATTGTCACTCTTTCTATTTCTAGTAGTTCTCTGATTTTACATATGGTGTACTCACTCTACTAAAATCATTGAGTTATCAGGAAGATAAATTTTATGTAAAACATTTCTGATTCAGGTATATTGCACAGGTTTCTATTTTCTTCTTCAGGATTTCGTCTTTTGAAAATGGCAGCAACTGCTGCTACTGGCCTGCAAATCAGTGCTGCAAGGCCCTCCATTTCATTAACTAACAGAATTTTCAAGGCTTGCGTAACAAATGTTGGTGCTGATTCTAAAGGGATATCATGGGCTAGGCTTGCTAGTACTTATCATATATCATCTCTGCAACATTTTCAGCGCAATTTCATGCCATCTCCTGTAAAATTTGAGAAGGTTGTTACAAGGGCTATGTCTGAATCTAGTGAAAACAAGCCTGCATCAGTGTTACCAATTGATTTGAAAGGTGATTCATGCATTTCCGTAATTTGTGTATATGTTTTTACTATTGAGTCTCCTATTATGGTTTCTCTGCTTGTAACAAAATGAAATGTCAGTTGATTACTGACTTCCAGCTATCTATGAACTACCTTGCAGTGTTTGATTTATATAAATGCTCTAGGGTTGTGTATTATGATTTCCTTGTTTGGATATTCTCTACTAGAGTCTAGAACATAACTAGAAGAAGGTCTCATGAACTGGTTCATCATTCTACAAGATCATGGGAGATTAACAGATAACTCTCACAGTGGCATTTCAGTGACCTTTGTGTACTCATCTTCAATAGGGAGTTAAATTTACGTTCATTAAAAATTTAACTTTTAAATAATGTGAGACATTATGTCAATATTTGCCCGGATTAGCATGAAACTTGGCACACTTGACCGTCTTGGAACGAGAGACTTGTGGGAGAAGATGAGATTCAAATTGGGTTCCCGATTTGGGAGTTAGAGCCGGGTTTTGGTCTCAACAAACTAGTTCTTTAAGAAACTTAGAATTCGAGGTGTTGACGCTCCAAAATCACCAAACGACATTGGATTAGCACGAAACTTGGCACACACGACCACCTAGGCACGAGAGACTTGTGGGAGAAGACGGGACTCGAATCGGGTACCCGATTTGGAAGTTAGAGTCGGATTTCGGTCTAGGCAAATTAGTTTTTTAAGAAACTTAGAATTTGAGGTATTGATACCCCAAAATCACCAAACGGTGTCAGATTAGCACGAGACATGGCACACACGACCGCCTTGGCACGAGAGACTTGTGGGAGAAGATGTGACTCGAATTGGGTTCCCGGTATGGGAGTTAGAGTCGGATTTCGGTCTAGGCAAACTAGTTTCTTAAGAAATTTAAAATTCGAGATATTGACGCCCCAAAATCACCAAACGACGTTGGATTAGCACGAAACTTGGCACACACGACCACCTAGGCATGAGAGACTTGTGGGAGAAGACGGGACTCGAATCGGGTTCCTGATTTGGGAGTTAGAGCCGGATTTCGGTCTAGGCAAACTAGTTTCTTAACAAACTTAGAATTCGAGGTGTTGATGGCCCAAAATCACCAAACGGCGTTGGATTAGCACGAAACTTGGCACACACGATTGCTTAGGCACAAGATACTTGTGGGAGAAGACGGGACTCAAATCGAGTTTCCGGTTTGGGAGTTAGAGTCGGATTTCGGTCCAGACAAACTAGTTCCTTAAGAAACTTAGAATTCGAGGTGTTAACGCCCCAAAATCACCAAACGGAGTCGGATTAGCACGAAACTTGGCACACACGACTGCCTTGGCACGAGAGACTTGTGGGAGAAGACGGGACTGGAATCGGGTTCTCAGTTTGAGAGTTAGAGTCGAATTTCGGTCTAGGCAAAATTATTTACTTAATTATCTTTGTAATTGTGTAGTTAAATTTTTATATTTTTTTGTAATTAATATATTAACACATAATTATATTGTCATTAATTATTTTTGTTTTTTGTTTTCAGATATTTCCCGAATAGGAGTTTGTTTCTTGTGGAATGCATGCCTGTGAAGAATCTGACTAACTTTTGTTTTTGTTACCCACGGAGAATGATGATGAAAACTTTTGTTTTTGGTTTATGTTATTTTGAATTGTGAATAACATTATGTATTTAAATATTATATATGTATTATGAAACATTATGTAGTAGGGTAATTTTGCTGATGTGTAGTTATGAATGCATAAATATTTTTATTATGGAGAAATTGTTATTTCTATATAGGAATTTTTATATTATTATGAAATTATTGGTTTCTTTTTTTAAATTTTTTTTCTTCATTTAATACAGATAATTTAAATATTTTAAATAATTTTTTTTTTTTTTTTTTTTTTTTTTTTATTGTAGGTTTTTTTTTTTTTTTTTTTTTTCATGGCACCACACTGTTGCAAAAAACCCAAATAGTATTTTTATTGTAGAACTAAAATTTATTTTTTTGGCAACATAGGCAATGCCATTGCAAAAGAAATTGGTGGCAGCGGTCATGCCGTCACAACAAAAAAAACAAAATTCGCGATAGTATTTTTTTGCTATCTCAAATAAAACTTTTAGTGACGGTACAATATTGTCGTCACAAAAGGTCTCAATTTTTTACATATTATAAGCGATAGTAAAATGCCGTTGTAATGTCTTCTGTTGTGATCCTTCCTTTGCCGTCGTTATAAGTTATTTGCTATAGCTAAAAGTTTTTTGAGACGGCATTAGGAATATTAGCGACTGCATTTTGTTGTCGCAAAAAACTAAGGTTGTGTTTGGTAGAGTTTTGTAAATATGATTTGAGAATATGAGTTGTATTTTGAGTTTGTGAATTTTGGAATTGTGATTTGAGTGTAGAAAATTTGTTTGGTTTTGAGTTTTGAAAAAAAATTTAAATTGAGTGGGGATTTTTGATGTGACATGTGATATTTGATACAAAAATTAACAACTCATAACTAAACATACAACTCAAAATTCTATACAAAATTCATAAAAAAAAATAAAAAATTCAAAAAATATTTTTTATTTAATATATAAAACATAACATGTGTTAATTTAAAAAAAAAAAAATCACTGGCTGGGACGTCCTGTGGGACATCCAGGAGGTCGGTCGGGGGACATTCGGGTGACAGAGTTTTCAAAGCAAAGTGTGGAATTGAATTTTAAAAACCGCAAACAAACAAGCAACTCAAAAACACACCTGAAATCACATTTTCAGAACACAACCAAACAGAGCCTAAAATTTTTATAGTATTCAATTTTGAATCATTTTTAGTAAGTTAAATCTCTGTCAAATGTTATTTTCACTTTTCATAAAATGCAGTCACAAAAAATTAAAATTTTTGTAGTGTTGAATTTTGAATAGTTTTAGTAAGTTAAATCTCCGTCAAATGCTATTTTCACTTTTCATCCTTCTCATTCTCACCTCCACAAGCTAATGCGAGTAATGTAATTGGTTATTGGAAAAAGTTATAAACAATTATGCATTATTTTCCTCATGGTCAAGTTATCACTTTTTTCCAATCATCTAAACTGTTTGGTTTAGTTTTTGAACCTTGAATTTATTCTAACTTTTCTTGTTGCATGCTGCTCGTTGGGTATGATTGGAGTAAGGTATTTTGTTTTTTCCTTTCTGCACTCTATTCTTCCTCTTTACTTTTTCATGTACCTCTTTTTTCTAGGAGGTTTTCTAGGAGGCGGCTCCTCTAGTAACCTCTTTTTCCTAAATTAACCAACAATTCACTTTTAACGATTACGAAAAGAATAATGCTACTCTAATTTAAAAGTTAAATTTATTATTTAAATTTAATAATTTAACAATCTATTAAAATATTAAACGTAGCACTTTTTCTCATAGTTTTTAATGGGTCTAACTTGTTTTATGTTTGAGATCAAAACTAAACCGTCCAGTTCAGCCTATGGGCCCATTTGTGAGTCACATTTCAATAATTCAAACTGTTCAATATGTAGAACTCGTCGAGTACTATATTCTTAAAAACAATCACATTGATTGGATATCGATAGCTATTTGATCGTATCAGATTTGTATTAAAAAAAAAATGGACGATGAAAAAATAAACGATTGACAAAAATTTGATCCGATCAAATAGCTATCGATATCCGATCAATGTGATTTTTTAATAGGGATACAGTATTTGACGAGTTCTGCACATTAAACGGTTCAGATTATTGAAACGGAGCCCAAAAATGAGCCAATGGACCGGCCTGGACGGTTCAATCTCAAGCTCAAACGTGAGGCAAGCTGGACCTTCTTTAATCACTAGCCAATCATCTCTATTACAAAAAAAGTTGTACATAAAAATAGCACCTAATTAATAATTGAGAGTATTTTTTTAATTTTAAGTATGAAATGGTGACATATTGTCATATAGATAGATGAATATGGTTGTGAATTATACATTTTTAACTGTTGTGTTAGATTGAGGGGACCCCTTCGTTACACTTCCATGTCAAATATTTTTGTGACAAATGTTACATAATTTTTTTAATAGAAGTATGACAATTAGTGATTCAAAAATATTTCAATGAAAAAATGTGTAATGTTGCCATAAAAATGCATAATTTTATTTATGGATAACAACTTATTATAACTCTATTCGAAAGAGTACGCCATATTTGTCACAAAAATCCATAAAAATGTGTTAAAAAAATGTGAGAGAGAGGAGATAGAGGCCTTTTGGTTTATTTTGAACTTTGAACTTCATTTTATTTTATTTTTTTTGAACGGCAGAGCAAAAGATCATTATTAATGAAACATACGAAATATGACTTGCATTAGTAAGGTGTTTTTTATTTTTAATACTTTATTCCTTCCTTCACTTTCATCTTCCTTTACTTTCTCATATACAACCTCTTTTGCATTGATGGCAAAGTATTAGTTCTTTCCTGGCCCAACACTCAATGAGTATGCTATGATAATTAATAAATTGAATGTAGAAGGAGAAAATTTATATATATATATATATATATATAATTTTGAAATGAGCATTGCTATTCATATCTAAAAATTAGACCCACTTTCTAGATTCAATGATGTATCAAGAAGATGATTGGTTGATAATTAAATATTCTCTAATTATTAATCAGTTATCATCTTAACACATCACTAGGTTTAGAAAGTAAGTCTAAAAAGTTGACTTATATGTTATTTTTCTTTTGAAATTCAAAATTTAAATTTGAGGTAGTTATAGAGACCTAATTTGGGAATAAAAAAAGTGACAATCAACACCAACAAAATTCTGTGCTTTATATAATAGTGTATAGATAATATAAATAAAAATACAGGAAAATAGCCCAAAATGAAGTTTTTTTTTTTTTAATTTTTTTTATTATTAATGAAATTGGTGGCATATCATATATGTAGATGAATGTGAATGTAAGATATACATTTCAATCGTAGTATGTGAGATCAAGGTTACGAAGTTAATGAATTTTTGGTAACATGTTGAATGTTAACAAACAACTATACGTTATTTTCTTCATAGTCAAGTTGTGGCTTCTCCAATTATATGAACGATTTGGTTCTATTTTTGAACCATTAATTTTTCGTCCTTCTTAACTATTGCATGTTGTTCATTGGGATAAGAAAAAGTTTAAAAATACAAAAATCCATTACATAACTAAACACAATTCTCTAGTATAATTTTGTAAGTCTCAAACATATGTGAAAAAGATTGTGTCCAATTTGATGAAAGGTTTTCATGTACAACTGGAAGAAGTGTATAGCGCAAGGTGAAAACTCTTATTGTGGCAGTTCTCTCTCTCTCTCTCTATATAGACATGAAAACTCTTCCATAATCCCCAAAGAGAAGTGAGTAGTTTTGTGAGAGATCAACACCAGCCAACTGACTTTCGAAGAAGTTTAACTTTTATATTTGTATATAATAGACTTCAAATGGAGAGTCAAGTGCTCATGGATGCTTCTTCCAGTAGCCGGGGAGCAAGGGGTAAGGTTACATGACATTATCTCCATTGCCATATCCTTTTCCTCTTCATTATTGTTTCTCGTTTATACCCTTTCTCATCACACTGTCCTTTCTTACGTTGCACTGTATGCATCAGTCGGATAGATGGTTGAAAATTTTAAGAATAAAACTCTTCCTACATTGTTTAATGGGGTTCACTTATTTTGAAAACAGGACTTTCAGAGAAAATTTTTAAAATGTCGCTAATAAATGCATTTTTAGAAAAAAAAAAATTTAGTTCCAAAAGAATAATAATTCATCACTAATATCCAAATTTCATCGGTAAAAATATAATAATGACACTTTTGGTAACAAAAATATTTCGTTCAAAAAAAAATTTATTTTCAAATTTTTGTCTCTAAAACCCTAATTTATTGTAGTGTAACAATTTATACAATATACTACTCCCCATGTTTGTGGAAAGTAATCTGATAGTGGCATTTGTTAATGAACATGACATACAAATTCACTTTTTAAACTTAATAATGTATAAAGTGAAATGATTGGTTGATAATGAAAGAAGATATGAGAGAAAGAATAACACATGAGAGTGATTAATTGATTGATCATTGAATTTGAAAAATAAATCTAATTTTTAAATTCGAATAGCATAACTTTTTTTTAAAGTAAAAGGATATGGACACATAATAATTTATGCAATAGACAGCAATTTAATAAGTAAATTATGAAATGTTTTGCAAAAGTGTTGTTTTAGACACTTTGATTGGTTTTTTGGTTGGAAACGTGTGCACACAATATTTGGATTTCTGTTTTTTTTTTCTCCCTCTCTTAATTTATTTATTTGTATGTTTTGAGGATATAATATAAATAATAAACTTATCTATCTCTTTAATGATTTGGACTTTTAAATGAGTTAGTGATCTATTTTAATACGGCATCAAATTAGGCAATAGAAATCTTATGTTCAAACCTCACTGCATAGGATACAATTAAAAAATATTGCACATGCTTGACCGTTAATATCTGCTGATTAATATGTATGTTTGTTTGGTGATGGATGCAGAGAACAAGGATGAGGACTACTGGAGATACCAACCACTCCTTAAAGCTGCACTCAGGGGAGACTGGGATTCCGCCAAAGGATTCTTCGACCAAGACCCAGATGCACTCACTGCCCATATCACTGATGCAAAGCAGACTGCACTCCACTTAGCAATCAGTAGTGGAAGGTCAATCGAATTTGTGGAGAAATTGGTGGATTTGATGCCTCCAGAGGCGCTGGCACTGCGTGCCTCTCAAGGTAGGACTGCCCTTCACATTGCTGCACTGTATGGAAACACCAAGGCTGCGGTTATCCTGGTGGAGAAACACCCTACCTCCTTATATATTCGCAGCTATGATCAGAATCAGTTACCGCTCCACTTTGCTGCTAATGGTGGACATAAGGACACCCTTTTGTATTTATTGAGTGTCACAGAGGATGATCCAGTGTCCAAGCCATTCGCATACCCTTCTGGTGCTCTGCTTCTCTATCAAGCAGTAGATTCCGAATTTTATGGTGAGTCACATCTAATTACTTTGCTTATTGCCCAATTAATACAAAATTGCTTAATCAAAAAGTAGTCACGAGAATTAGGGTTGAGTAAGGAATTCGTAAAATTCGTAATCCGATCTAGTCTAGTTCAGTCCGGTAGGTTTGGATTGATTTTTTGAATCCGTGGTTCAGTTCCGGATTGAAAAATAAAAAATTCGTAGTCCATGAATCGGCTATGGATTGAACCCCATGGTTCCGGATTGGAACCGATCCGGACCATATACAAATAGTCTATATTTATATTATACACCATCTTACATAGTATCTTCTCTTATTCCATATAAAACCTAAACCTGCGTCACTATTGTGAAAAGCCATGCTGTTATTGTGAAACTAATATGATACTATGTTTATGTTTTTATGAAGTTAAAATGTTCTATATTTTTTTTTTGTTATTTAATTATGTGAATCCATGGTCCTAAATTAATTCAATCCGTGTTTAAATGGATTAGTTCAGATTGATTCCACGATTTAAACGAATTGAATTGGTTCTAATTTTTCAAGAACTGTAGATAATGGATTGATTCTACTTTTACCCCAATCTGGACCAATCCAGACCATGCTCACTCTTACGACAATGTTCAAATATTATAATCAAACATCATCTAAATATAACTTAGCCATTTCAAATCCATACAATGCTCAAAGAATTATAATTTGGCAATAAGGTTAAATTAGTTAAAAATCAATTAAAATAATCAAAATGCTAAACAGTCAACAAGTCAAAAAATTATCCAATAGCCCTGAAGGGATTCAGACCCTCTGTAAGGGATTTCTTTGCGGCGTCCCTAGGATGTGATAAAACAACACTGGTTTGTCTAATGACTGAAAAAAAAAGGTCGAAGAAAAAACAGAACAAACAACGGGTTCTATTGCGGAAAAGAGAGAGAGAGAGACAAGCGGAATCTCTTTACATCTCCTTCAATGGCATCCAATACATAATCATATTTTGAAGATTTGTTGCCAATCATGGCCGATAAGTTAGGTGAGGAAGGGTTGATAGAAGAGTTTTGTAATGGATTGTGGTTGCTAATGGACAATGATAAAGGGGTCATCACGTTCAATAGCCTCAAAATAGCCTCAAAATAAACCCTGCCCTGTTAGGGTTGCAGGAATTGAGGGATGATGATCTTAGGGGAATGTTGAGAGAAGGCGATTTCGACAGTGATGGAGCACTCAATCAGATGTAGTTTTGTGTTCTCATGTTCAAATTGAGCCCTAAGTTGATGGAACAGATTTTTTATTTGTTTTTCTTTAATTTTAAAGTCTTTGAAAGAATCAATAAACGTTATGGGATAGGGAGTAGTGTGAGTGTTTTGTGGGATTTGTTGGTTAATTGAGTTTCTGTAGCCTAAAGTTTAGAAATTGGGGAGTATAAAGTTATTGGAGTTCTGTATTTAAGGCCACTGAGTCAGCAATAGAGGTAACTAATCTTTTCCAAAATCAATTTATGTTTATTGGAGGTAGTTTCCCCTGGAAGTGAATTAGAATTGTTCTAGTTTCTAGCTGTGTTTCTACCATAACTAAGAAGAAGAAATAGGTTGCTAACAGTTTGGAATCAGAGCAAGGTGCTCAAAAGATGGCCGAGGGAACTGTTTTGCCATTATCCCATGTGAGGGGTGATTATCTTTTCCACCGAAAGTAGTGCAGCAAGTTAAGAACGATGGCTGCCAACCGGCAAGCCACAAATGTGGACAGCCACCTAAAAGTGAGTGAGCTGGCCATGTGTGCCAGCCAAGTTCTCCAGCTTCCTCCATTTTAGTGTATAAGAGAGAAGTAGAGGGAAGAGTTGAGAATGAGTCAAAAAAACCCTGAGTGAGAAATTATAGAGAGTGAGACAGAGAGTTCCTCTGTGTGAGAGAGTAGAGCTCCCTCTATGTGAGAGGGGGAGCTCAATGGGAGTTAAGTGAGAGTGAGCTTCTCCTTCATTGTATAAATCTGTTTGTAATCTCCATTTCTAGTGAATCTCCTGTTACTCTCTCGTGGACGTAGGCATTGAGGCCGAACCACGTTAAATATGGTGTCTCCTTGGATGGGTGGGTGTTTTTTTGCTTGGTATGATTTTTGGGAAGTTTTAGGTGGGATTTTGGATCCCCCATAATTGATATCAGAGTTAGTGGAGGAAAAAGAGTGTGTTTTTCTGAATGACCAAAAACCAAGTTACTCGACATTGAGTTTTGAGCATACTATGAGGTACGTCTCGAGGAGTGGGGTCTAGACCTAGAAAATCCAGCCCAAAAGGAGGCTTCACGCACCTCCACGCGCAACTTGAAGTTTCGTCGGAGTATGCCGGCATGTCGCCAGAAAGTTTAGTTCGGTTGAGGAAAGAGCAGTGAAGAAGAAGAAGTGAAGATGGTTCAAATATAATATTTTGGGAACCATTCAACACAAGGGCTCATCTGGCGTAGTGTTTACGACTTTGCCTTCACCCTTCGGTCATCGGTCGAATCTCAAGTAGCACAGAGGTTAAGTAATTTCTTTGTGGAGGCGGTGATGTAGTGCTGATGCAAGAGTTACATCAGTAGGCAGGTGGGCTGACCAGATCGGACTCGAGTCCGATTCTAGAGGGCCCAACTCGGACGATGTCAACAATAGTGCAGTTGAGCGGGTTCGACCTGACCTAGGAGGGGTCCAGCTTGTGACATTAGTGTGACATGGTGGTGATGTCATCAATGACTCGTGGCAGATGGCGTCAGTCGGTCAGTAAAACAGTATTCCTTTTGTTAACAGATTATTCCTGGGGTTCTTGAAAATTGTAATGAGGGCCCAAATTTTTGCAGAAATTGTGGAGTGACCCAACTTTCGAGGAAGTTTCTCAGTGAGGCCCCCGGAAATGCAGCGAAGGTTGGTCCTAGCTAAATGAACCATTCTGGGTGCAACCGCGAGATCAGAATAGTGAGATTTTGAACGGTTTCTTGAAGATAGTCAAGACATGAGAGTTTATGATCTTCAATAGTTGGAGGAATGTTAGACAGAGAAATTGAAATAGGTAAAATGTAAGCGTGCAAGGTGTGGCAAGTCTCTTTTCTCTATGGTGGTTTATTTAGTTCTATGGCTATGAGAACCCTATCCCGTGTTATGTTAATTAATCTTACTTATGATCGTGGTTATGTGCTTAATATGATTTTGAGTGTCATTTATATGATTATATGAGTTTTTGAATTTCTATCTGTTCACAGTAGGAAAATCTATTTGATTTTCTGCTTTAAAATTTAATTAAAGGCCGTAGAGGCGACAGAAATTGAAATTGACTGTATTTTTGTGCTTAGCATGATTTTTAGAGCCTACAGTGGAATTTAATTAAGAATTGAATCAATTAGATTTAATTGACTGAAATAGGCACAATTAATTAGCCTTAACCAAGGTTGATTGGCCAAGCATATATATAAGCCTATTATTACTTAAGCTCCCCATTTAAGCTCAAAATCTGAAATACAATCTAGCGAGAGAGAGAGAGAGAGAGAGAGAGAGAGAGAGAGAGAGAAGAGGACACAAATTGTGGATTTTGGCTCAAAGCTTGGGAAGTTGGAAGCTAGACTCAAGAAATTAGCTAATTATGGAAGGATTGGAGCTTTTAGGTGGGTAACCAACCCTTAATTCATGAGTTTAAGTTTGTAATTATGTGAATTCAAAGAGAATTGGTAATCAAGAGAAAGGTTTAAGTTATATATGATGAATTTGAAGTCAATATACACATGCATGTAAGAATTATCATGGTATGAAGCTCAATTTTAAGGACTTATGTTTGTATTTAGAAGATGATTGTTGGAACATGAAGAATATGGCATCAAATCATACATGCATGCATTATTTTCATGAGCTTCATGATTGTGAGCATCATTTGTACCATTTGAAATGGAATTGGAGTCAAAAATTAACATGCATGCATGATTCATGAAGATATGAAGTTTGTATTGAGTTTGAATGCATGAGTTTTGAAATTGATAAGGAGAATTTTGAATGATTTTGGGAATGGACCATGATTTTGGACAATTGGTCTCAAATTATCCAAGTTCTTATAATATACAATGTTTTTCTATGATTTGGCATTGATTTGCAAACCTTGGAGCCTTTGGGGTTGTGTTTTGAAGCTTAAATAGCTTGCTGGAAAACCCAAAATTCGACTAGTTCGCTCGAGCGAGGAAAGTCTCGCTCGAGCGTGAAAATTTAGCTCCCAGAAGTTTTACAGAGATTTGCACAGTGGCTCGAGCGACAGACTTTACGCTCGAGCGAACCCTGTTTTGCAAGTCTTCTCGCTTGAGCGCCGAAAATCTCGCTCGAGCATAAAATTCATGCAACCAGTACTTTTTCAGAGTTTTGCAGGTCGTTCGAGCGGAGAGCCATGTTTCAGAAATTTTGAAAAGTCGTTTTGTGTTTTGTTTTCCGTTTTCTTTCATTTCTAAGCACTCCTAGGCATGCATTGGGCATTGTAAATGACCTAAAGGGATAAGAAAGAGGCCTAAGAGAAACAAATAAATTAAGAATGGATCGAATTGCTTGTAACCCAATATGTTATGAAATGTGAAGGGTCAAGCGCAAGGACAAATCCACCAGCAGAACACTGTGAGTAGTATCTTAGTAAGAATGCGTTGAAGTATGATACTTTCTAAATGCTTCTATATGAGTTCTACAGATTTGTTTATTTGAATCGAATATTTGTTATGCCAATGATTGAATAGGGCCGTTGGAATATGATTATGATCATGATATGTTTATGATCTCAAGTATGAAATGTGCATAAACATGAATGATTGGGCCAAAGGCTGTTTGACATAAATGATTGGGCCAAAGGTTATTTGACATGAATGATTGGGCCAAAGGTCGTTTGCCATGATTGAATTGGGCTCAAGGCCATTTGATAAGAATGAATTGGGATCGAGGCCGTTTGATATGTCTATTACGAATTTCATTCATGTAATTTCTTTATTTTGATATTATTCACTGGGCTTTCGCTCACTCTCAATTTATATGCATATAGGTGAGCAAAGAGATGTCCAAACCTAGCCTTAGTGAAGAATGTGAGAGGAAGTCAGTTTTGTGGAGTCAGCCTGAATGTCTTACGTACAAGACTTCGCTTTTGTTCTTTTGTTTACTCTTTTTTTGCTATCTTGGTGAATACGTTAAATCACATATGTACATAAACCTTCGTTTGGCTGACTATACGTTTAAAGTTCCTGGATGTACAAGATGTTAATTATGTCTACATGTTTGAGTTATTATGGAATGATTTTGGAATAATTTTGCTATGCCATATAAGCATAGCTCATTGGACGAAATTTTTAAGTCTGCTTCCGCTTTGACCCCTTATTGCTATTGAAACATGCTTAATCAGGATTAAGGTCATAGGTAATCTCTTGATTACTGGCTGGTTATGACCTTAACCCATAGAGGTGGGTTCGAGTCATGACAATGGCAGTGGATGATACAGTTGATGCAAATTTCTCAAGCAAGCTTGATGCAAGGAGACCAAAAGCCATGAGTGCGAACACTATGCAAGAAATTACATAGATAATGATGCTATGATAGATAGAGCTACTATTAACCATTAATCTACTGAACAACAAATTAGGGATTACAAAGGCACAGACAATGAATGTATAAGAACACCGGGAGGTTGTTTAGAAGTGCAGAAGGCAAATGCTAATAATTCAGAGGAAAAGCTTTGAGCAAAGAAGATAGAGGATCACCTCACATGGGTTGAGAAGATGATTTATTATGCTATCACCCCATGTGAGGAGTGATTCCCTTTTCCACCAAAAGCAGTGCAGCAAGTTAAGGAGGACGGCTGCTGGATGGTGAGTGAGCTGGCCATGTGTACCAACCAAGCTCTCTATCTTCCTTCATCTTAGTGTATAAAGAGAGAAGTTGGGAGGAGAGCTGAGAGTGAGTCGAAAAATCGTGAGTGAGAAAATGTAGAGAGTAAGACAAAGATTCCTTCTATGTGAGAGATGGGAGCTCTCTCTGTGTGAGAGGGAGGGTCAGTAGCAGTTGAGTAAGAGTGGGCTTCTCCTCCATTGTGTAAATCACTTGGACGTAGGCATTGAGGCTTAACCACATTAAATATGGTATCTTCTTGGGTGTGTGTGTGTTTTTCTGCTTGGTATGATTTCTGGAAGGTCTTTGGTGGGATGTTGGATCCCCAACAGGAACTTGGGTTGCGAAGGTAGAAGAAGCTATTAAACAACTACAAAACACCACGTAGCAGCAAGGTTAACAATTAGATACAATAGTCCAGATGATAATAGCTCTTGTTTTGAAATATAATCAGATGTCGAAGAATGTATCACAAGACCTTAAAGTGAATCTTGACAAAAGAGCAAAGCGCTTCTCATCTCGCAACAGTGAGTCCAATGCTTTTGGGACTTGTGGGGGACTCATTTAGACCCAAGCTTTAAAGCTGGATTTTGTTAGATTTGAGGGTAGCAATTCTTCTGGTTGGGTTTATCGTGCTAAACAATTTTTCACTTATCATCAATCACCAATTGATCAGCAGCTTTCCATTACTTCATTCCACATGGAAGAAGAAGCTTTATAATGGTTCTAATGGCATCAATGTATTCAACCTCAAACCACGTGGAAAAATTTTGTTTCAGCCCTTGCTACAAGATTTGGCCCAACCGAGTATGATGACTTTGTTGGAGTTTTTGCTAAATTGCACTACAACTCCTTTGTGCAAGATTACCAAACTCAGTTCGAAAAGCTGGCCAACCGCATTAAAGGCCTTAAAGAATCATTCTTAGTAAGTTTCCTTGTGTATGGACTAAAGGATAAAATTCGTCTTGAGTTTCAAATGTTTTTTACCACCACCACGAACTGAGCCATTGGCCTAGCACAACTCCCAGAAAAAAAAGCTTAAGCTTCAACTGAGGATGAGCCGATTTGAAGGGAACAAGGATGTTTCAACCCTTCTTATTGAAGTGGCTAAGTCTCCAACCACAGTTAAATGTCTAACTCCTACCGAGGCTAAGGAGAGGTGAGACAAGGGGCTATGTTTCTACTGCGATGATAAGTTCCAACCGGGTCATATGTGTAAGAATCCAAGGTTATTTATGATCGAGAGCATACTAGAAGAGGAAGCTAGCCAAGATTAAACTCATGAGGTGGATATGGATATTCAAGGGTTTGACGAGCCATCGCCATGAATTTTTCTCCATGCCATAGCGGGTGCATTGACTCCTCACACCATGCATGTAGGAGGCAAGGTGTGCAATCATTCTATCACCGTGCTCATTGATAGTGGATCTACTCTAATTTTTTTGATCCAAGGGTTGCTCAGAAGGCGACTATTCCCATTCAAAGCTACCCCAAATTTGAAGTAATGGTGGCAAATTGGAACCGGTTATTAGGAAAAGTAAAGTGTGCTGGATTAAGCCTCATGGCCCAAGGTACTCTTATTAAGGTTAATTTTTTCTTGCTTACATTAAGAGGCTGCGAAGCTGTGTTAGGTACTCAATGGTTGAGAACACTTGGGCTAGTCGTTTAGGATTTTTCACAGCTTACCATGTCCTTTAAGGAAGACAATAGAGAATGCAAATTAGTAGGCTTGTAGTCTATAATTTTGAAATGCTAGGAGGAAAAGCAAATCGGAAAAAAAATATGTAAAGGTGGGAAGGCACTGCTGCTCCAGTTGCATAGCGTTTTAATGGTGACACAATCCAAAGTTGAAGACCTGGAATTAAAGCAATTCCTCATGGAATTCAGACATCTATTTTCAAAACCAACTTGGTTGCCTCCACAACGAAGTCATGATCATCATATTCCTTTGATAGAAGAAGCAAAACCTATAAGTGTACGCCCTTATAGATATTTATTTTGTCAAAGAAAAAATGAAATAGAAAAGCTGGTTAGAGAAATGTTGAATTTTGGAATGATAAGACCCAATAATAGTTTGTACTCATCCCCCGTGCTTTTATTTCAAAAATATAATGGGAGTTGGCACATGTGGGTCGACTATCGGGCTCACCATAAAATATAAATTTCTCATTCCTGTTATTGATGGATAATTAGATGAATTGCATGGATCTAAGTTTTTCTCCAAACTAGATCTGCGATTCGGATATCACCAAATCCGTGTGCATGATGGAGACATACCCAAGACAGCTTTTTGAACTCATGATGGTCATTATGAATTTTTTGTAATGCCTTTTGGGTTAACCAATGCACCACCAACCTTCCAAAGTTTAATGAATAACATTTTTAGACCCTATTTACGACAATCTATCTTGGTATTTTTTGATGATATATTAGTTTACAGCCAGACTTGGAAGGATCATCTAATCCATTTGAGGGTACTTTTCAACATTCTAAGGCAACACAATCTGTTTATGAAAGAATCCAAATACAAATTTGGATGCAAGGAAATTGATTACTTGGGTCATGTGATTTCAGCAAAGGGAATAATAGTTGATCCTTCAAAGATTTCCAGCACGATTGAATGGCCAAAACCATATTCTTCAAGAGCTTTAAGATACTATCCACTTTGTTCTTCTTTAGAAAATGCCTCGCATTAGCTAGAAGAAGTTAGTCAACTTATTGAGTGGGTTGTGGATGCCTCTCTGACCGATGTGGGACAAACCCATTTCAGGCTCCCACAGGTACCACGAGAAATTCATTAAAGACTATGGGAAAATTGCAGCCGAGAAATTCATTAAAGACTATGGGAAAATTGCAGCCCATTTAATAGCACTGCTTAAGAAGAATGCTTGGTCTTGTTCCATTGAAGCTGAACAAGCTTTTAAAACTCTCAAGGAGGTAATGATACAAGCCTTTGTCTTGGCTCTTCCCAATTTTTCTAAGCCATTTGTCATTGAGTGTGATGCTTCAAGTACTGGAATATGAGGGGTACTAATGTAGGATGGTCATCCAATTGTATATTACAACCAGGTCTTGCATGGAAAGAATTTGGCTCTATCAACTTATGTAAAAGACTTGTTAGCCTTGGTAGCAGTAGTGCACAAGTGAAGACCCTATTTATCAGGTTATCGATTCGCTGTTCGAACTAATTAAAGAAGCCTCACGTTCTTATTAGAGAAAAGAATTTCAACTCCAACACAACATTAGTGGTTGTCTAAAATCATGGGATATGATTTCGTAATTGAATTTAAAAGAGAGAAGGACAACTCAGTAGCTGACGCTTTATCAAGAAGAGAAGATGGACCGGAGTCACAAATTTCAGCCATTTCACGACCAATAGTCTCGTGGGTTGAGTAGATTCGTCTAGAGGCCACTATAGATTCCTATTTATTAAAGAGAATTAAAGAGTGAGAAGCTAGAAATCTCGACCCAAAGAAGTATCTATTACAAGAGGGAATTCTTTGGAGAAAGGAAAAAATAGTGTTAGAGCCCCCATCCCAATGAGATTTACTATAATCAATGAACTGCATGATGCTCCTTCTTCGGGCTATTCCTATTTTCATAGGACTTTGAAAAGGGTTCCCGAATCATTCTATTGGCTGGGATTAAGGAAGGATGTGCAAAAGTGTATAAGGGAGTGTGATGTATGCCAACGTCACAAATCAGAAAATGTTGCCCAACTTGGCCTTTTGCAGCCATTTCATGTGCCA